GAACTGTGGGATGGTGGGACGGTGATTCAGGTTATTGTCAACATAAATGAATTCTTGCGAGGTTTGTCAAATCATACACTGTTCTGGATTGTTGAGCGTCTCTCGTGCGACATTTGTCGGGATAGAGACGTGGTGCGTCTTGGTTGTGGAGTGCATTATCTGTGTCAGCACCATTATCAATCCACTGCGACTGCCGCCGTATGTGCGGAAGGGTGCCTAACATTTCCTCATTGTGCACATCCCTATCACCCAGATGTACGTTGTCCTTTCTGTTCCCAAGGATGCTATCAGAACTGCATGATGCCGCACTGTGACGAACGTCCTGCTGTTTTCTTGACATGTGGGCAACATGTCCTATGTCGGGATTGTTTCGATGGGATGGTTCGTGCTAGCCGTTCGGCTGAATGCTGCACTAACGCAACTCTCCTTGGGTATCCCTGTGAACATCCCCGTCATCCTCACCGTAGTTGTCCTATCTGCCGAGGGGGTGACAGATGAAGTGTAGAAGAAACAGATAAAAAAAGAAACCGAGTAAAAAGATAAAAAAAGAAACCGAGGAAAGAAAAACACAAAAAAAAAAAAACTGAGAAAAAAGAAAAAAGAAAAAAGAAAAATATGTTCTGTGGGATGGTAATTGGATTATCTGTGGGATGTGTACTTGCTTCGTCTGTTTAATAGGCTTTATTCTTCTGTGAGGTTTGGTTTCCTCCGCCTTTTCTTTACCTCTTTGCCTTTTGGCTGCGTGCAAGTGGGTCTTTATGACACACGAGGATGGGGGCAGCCAGCGCTCAACCTGTCATCCACGTGCCTGGCCTTGTACGTAATCTTTGTCTTGTTTTACAATCTTTACCATTGTTTCGCAAAGTGCGCTCTTTTATTAGGTCATAGTTATGGGACATTATATACTCAAATATATATTATATCCTCTTTTCTGTAACTTCGTTGAAACTTCAGTTGAGTTGAAACTTCAGTTGAGTTTCCTGTGAACTGCTAATTAGCAAGTAATTACTGCCTAAAAATTGCTGATAAGGTGCTGAGCGATCCTCAAATGGTTTGCAGACAGTTTTCCGCTGCCCTGGGCAGAATTCCGAGGAACCGTAGATCGCCAGATTGACTGATCGCTGATGAAAATATCAATGGTTTGCTTGAGGGGGTGGGAGGAGGGAGGAGGGAGGAGGGAGGGAGGACGGGGTTTGAAGACGAGGTTAGGAAATCTACACATTGCTCGACATTGAAAGTACTGTCATTATCGCTGTATCTAGACTGAAAGTTGCCCCGGATACAAATGTGATGGATGTACGTTCTCTTCGGGGGAAGACGGTAGCACAGCAGATTAGGGCCGGCTAGCACATGGCGCCTCAGGAATCCATGATACCCGTGCACCTCTATGATTACGGTCTTCACCCAAATAAACGTCCGTCACCCGGCCACTATTTTTTGTATTTCAGGCAACTTTCAGTCTAGATACAGCAATAATCACTGGGCGCTTTATTCACATGATATGGCTAATGCGTGGCTCCTAATGTGGTGCAGCAGTGAATTCCTGACCGTCATTCGTTTTTACGAGATCTATTTTACTACTTAGTATTTACCGCTGCTTGCTCATAATTTGTTGCTCTGCTATTTATCCATGATGACCGTGCACTGCTACTCTTCGCTGTGTGAATCATCGTTCGATTGGCCGGAGTAGGAGCATGAATTACAAAATATTATATGGTCGTCAATTACCGTCTCCTCCTAATATAGAACATGCGGTCATTGTCGCTGTGTCTAGACGGAAAGTTGCCCCGGATGCAGCCAGCTTTAACGACCATACTACATTCTGTTGTGGGGGTGATGGTAGGTCTCACAGCCGAGAAGTGCAGCCGTTCATGTGATCGCAGCAGCAGTGCATCGGTGTAATTCGTTGCCTGTTCGATTGACATCTTGATGCAAACAACAACAACAACAACGCACCCTCAACATGATTTTTTTTTTCTTTCAAAAAATAAATAAATATATATACAATAGACATGCTATTTGTCAGGAATGTATGGTT